GCCAAAAGGATGGCCCAGCACAGAAGATCAACATCATCAGGCCAGGATTCTGCGGTTTACACTCATCTCCAGGCCAGCGGTCACTCTTTCAGGGATAAAGATGTGCACATCCTGGATAGAGAGGAACGATGGTTTGAGAGAGGAGTAAAGGAGGCCATCTTTGTGAAAAGAAATCGTCCATCGTTAAACAGGGGTGGAGGCCTACGTGTTCAATTGTCCCCCTCTTACAATGCTGTGATTGCTAGTATCACTCAGCCCTCTGTGAATAGTAAACAGCCATCAGTGTGCTAATGATCCATCGTTAGGCTGATGGTCCTTCTTGAGCATGCGATCAGCTGGTTTTGGTTGTCAGCAGCAAAACTGGTTGATCCACTCTGAGAAGGTGCTATTTAAGAGACTGAGCTGAAAACAGCACCTCAGACTGAGGAAGTCTCTCGGATGAGAGACGAAACGTTTCTACATTTTTTTGTTGTTTTGAATGTCCAGATGACCAGATTTAACTTTTTAGATTTTTCTACCTGGATTATTGAGCATGCATCAGGGTATCTTTGAGTAGTTAATATTACTGAGGTACTGTACGTATGTTCTATTGGTTGAGAGCTGAATTCAGCCTGCAGCTTGTATTGTTTTCACATTATCTTGTGTTTGTAGTTTGGCTGTTGTTCTCTGTAGGAGTTCCTGCTAGTTACATATTTTATGTTTCTTGCGGCTTTTATGCTTTTACAGAGAGGTTAACGAGTTTTATCTGTAGCTCCGTCATCCTGTCTGTTGTTGAGCTGACACAGGTTTCAATTAACTAAAACAGTGATTGAAACTGAACTAGACAACCACTGCAGCCTCTTTAAATCTTGACAAAGGCACTCCAAAACTAGCTGTTTTGGCTGTCAGCAAACTGGTTGAACTACTATCAGAAGGTGGTTTGTTGCAGATCTTCAGACTGAAGAAGTCTTTTAGTTAAAGATGAAACGTTTCAACAAGAAGAATCCGTCCAGAGGACCTGACTCAACCTGGTTAGATTTATCTACCTGGATTATTGAGCAGCATCAGGACATTTCTTCTTCTTTCAGCCTTTCATTCACATGGGTGAAAGGGGGGCCAAGATGATGTAGAGGTAGGGCAGCCGACTTGGGACCAAAATGTTGCAGGTTCAACTCCCTGCCATGCCCACATGCTGTAGTATCTTGAGCAAGACACCTAATCCATAATTGCTCCCTGGCCACTTACATAGCTGCCTGCTGCTCCACCTGGGTGTATCTCAGGTGTGATGGGTTAAATGCAGAGAACTAATGTCATCATTGTATAGAAACATACAGTGATGACAACACATCACACTTACCTTTACGTGGAAACAGTGTTTTGGGAGACCCTAAACTTAACTATATATTTGGAATCCTGACCTTTTGCAAACAGTACCTCAGACCCTCCTCTAACCTGCAGGGTCCACTTTAGGGGCCACGGTGGTTGGGTGGTTAGAGCAGTCATCCTCCATTGAGATAGTTGGGGGTTCGATTCCACCAGCAGTCACATGGTGAAGTGTCCCTGGGCAAGACACTGAACCCCTCATTGTCTCTAATGTGTGTCCCATGGGTGTATGAATGTGATCTAAAGCTCTGAAGTCTCTACACAGTGTTTCCCCTACCATTATACAAGCGGGGCGCCCCGCCCCAACAACAGAACCGAGCGCCCCGTCTACCGAACCCCACCCCCCACCCCCAACCACCTGTCGGCACTATCGTAATGCTAAACTAGCGGTTCGCAATGCAGGTGCACTAACTAAAAAGCTAAAGGCAGCCTCTTCCTTCATGCTGAACCTTCACGCTGAACGCACCCCCGCCACTCGAAAACTGTCGGTACAAACAGCGCACGGCTCAGATGTGCGTCTGTCTGTCCCCTGCACCGACCCCCCCCCCCCCCCCCAAAAAAAAAACCCTGTCTGTTCAGGGGCCGTTTACACGGCTCGTATTTTGAGTGCATCCGCAGCTTTCTCTCTGCGGTTCTGCTGATCGTTTACACACCAGTGGCCCCACTCTCTTTGAATCCGGAGGTTTCTGAATCCACCTTCCAGAGTGGAGGTTTTTCACTGACCCCCCGCTGATAATGTAAACATCTCCCGCTGAGACTTTGTGTTAAACCACATGCACACGCACGCGCGGACAGACGCTATATTTCTATCAACATGGCGGCGGACAGTGCTTTCAGAACCTTGACTGATGGAATATATTTTAATCTCGTAGTTAATCTACTTGAGATTCCAGGTGCTGTGACCGACATCTGTGTTGCAAGAGACACAGTCTGATCCAGTTCTAATGTCGCTGTTTATAGAACGTGGCACGCACACACGTCGCGCTGTACGATAACATAAATGTGCTAAATAACAACAGTTTAATAATAATAAACAGTATTTATGTTAGTGTAAGATATAATGAAGCTCTGAGCTAAATGAAGCTATCTGGACATTATGTAATTCAAATTTAAAATGATGCTAAACATATAGCGTGAACACTAAAGTTGAAAATGAAGACATCAGGTTTAATTTTTATTTATTTATTCAACACCACAAACTGTATGTCACACAAACACTCATAATTATACTGAACACACTATTAAAACACGTTAACTGAACTTGAATGGATTGAATAAAATAAATGAGGGGAATTTTAAATAAATAGTTCATCCAACATCTCTCTTCAACGTCCTCCTGCCCTGCATCTGGGCCGAGCCTTGTTCAGAACCGGTCCGCCTGGTGGAAGGACAGCTTCTTCTTCTTTCAGGAAAAAATAAAAACTCAGTTGGTTGTTTTGTAACTGAAGTAAACACAAGCTAACATTATTAAGAACGTTGATTTACTGCTGTAAAACAGTTACTGATTATCACGGAGTAAAGTCCGACATTGACTCGGTTCTGGTCCACCCAGTGACCGGTGTGGAGCTGTTATACGAAGCGGTCCTGCTTGGCATCAAATCTGTCGACTCTTCTCCAAAATCCAGCTTTAACTCGTTGTTACGTTACGTTGTTGTTAGCTGGTTAGCACAGAGGAAAACAACGTGCCGAGGCAGCACGCATGTGCATTAGGTGAAGGTACAAAATTCACAGTGCCAACTAATGACCCGGCATGGTAACTACAGTGGATTCGGGAGGGCGGGGGGGGGGGGAATCCTCCGGATGCATGTAAACCCAAAATGCGACCGTGTCAACGCAAATCTTTTCCTCTACTTAACATAAAGAAAAAACCTACGTTTCCCCCCATCGTGTCCGTGTAAATAGGGCCTTAGACAGCGCGTGGCTGAGATATGCGTCTGTCCCTCTCCTTTCACACAACCTGCTCTAAAACTGTTAGTACAAACAGCACGTGGCTGTCTCTGTGTCCCCCAAAACTGTTGGTTTAAACAGCGCGCTGCACAGCTTAGGACGAGTCCCCGTTCCAGCACCCCGGACAAAAATCACGGACGAGATGAGCGCCCCGCCATGGCAAGTTATCTAGGGTAAACACTGCTACAGATTCAGATAGAGTGCTATATGAATGTGTGTGTGGAGGTAAATGAGGCACAGATTGGGATGTAAAGCGCTTTGTAGGGCTGCAACAACGAATCGATAAAATCGATAAAAATCGATTATTAAAAGCGTTGGCAACGAATTTCGTTATCGATTTGTTGTGTCGCGCAATTATGCATCTTTCATGGCGCTGCAGAGCCGTTTTGTTCACCTGCAGTTCATTGTCAATGCTGACTGACTGAATAAAGTTTGAAAAAAAAAAACTGCAGCGCGAGTTGAACAGAGCGAGGGGGGAGGAGGAAGCAGAGCAGAGTGTTTTCAAAGCAAAATTAAGTAACTTTTACAAATGACCAACGCAGCGAAAACTGTTCGACCCAAGTCCTCCAAAGAGTGGGAGAACTTCACAAAGATAAAAAATGAGAAGCATGCTGCTTTGAAAATCACCGACACGACACGAGAAAACCACGGAGATAAAACGTAAACATGTCGGAGTCACGAGCTGCAGCTGATACATGTCTCACTCCCAACTCGTGTTGCAGGTGAGTCTTTACAATTTAACACATTGTTCTGTTTCAAGAGAGAAAACGTAACGTCAGTCTGTCTGGTAGATGAAGCTGCTGCTTGTTTGTTTATCTGACAGTGATAGAGAACGTGTGTTACTTTTTATTTAATTTAATTGGTACAAGCAGTGTTTCAATGTGATTTATAAATAAATCTAACACAAAGATAATAATTTAATGATTAAGCTTCAACTTTTAATTTGCTGGCCAAGTCTGAAAACACTGCAGGTATGGCAGGATGAATTACATTTAAACAGGAATTAAAGTAATTTATTACATCTACTCAAATGTGTGTAATTGAGTATTTTATATATATATATATATATATATATATATATATATGTGTGTGTGTGTGTGTTTAATTGCTCTTTTAGCTACTTTTGCCTGAACCTAACGCTGTAAGTGAAACAAGGCATTTCTTGAGTTGCTGTAAATTATGCTATAATGCATATTTACTCTCTCATTCCAGAAAACAACAACAAACAACAACATCCTTCATGATGGACAGACATCATGGACACCACAGCAGCAGCTGTCTTCACTGAAATCATCCTTAAATGATCGTCACTGACATGAGGCCTCTGTCGATGGTTGAAGACGAAGGCTTCACTACAATAATCCACACTTTTAATCCAGGTTACAATAATCCACACTTTT